TCGCCTAGATATGTTATTTCTTATCATTGTTGACCGCATGGACAATGAGGAGATATTCTTACGGGTATAGTATTAATTGTAGATAGTATTTTTTTACGGGTATAGGTAATAGTAGGGTGGCGAAAGATATCAGTTCTACTTGGTTGGAAGCCGAAGGGACATTAGTATCTAATGCTTGCCTGATTTGACAGATATTTCGTCCGCTCAGTAGTCGCGTATCAAGATAGAATATTTATGTTGATATTTTTTTGTCTGAGTGACTTGTACTTTTCAGAATGGGAAGAGTAATTGAAGGGAGAGAGATGTTGAGGCAGAGAGAGAGAGAGATGATAGAGACGGAGAGACGAGGAAGAGATTTGAGATGATGAGAGAAAGAGAGAGAAGATTGGAGAAGGGTAGACAAGAGGAGAGGGGAGAGGGAAGAGGGAGAGAGAGGGGCAACGAGCGACAAGAACTATTTTATATATATATATTATTATTATATTATATTAGAGAGAGAGAGAGAGAGAGAGAGACGAGAGTTCAGCGTAAATGTAGATCTTTCCCAGACCCGGGAAGGATGACGATTCTTGCTAGCTGGTTGGTGCGAGCGATGTACACTTACAAGTGCTCCTCATCCAGCAGGAACAGCGCGTGGTCTTTGCGATTCCTCACCCAGCGAGGCAGCTCTGGCATCCACGGCGGGTAGATGCAATTGCAGCACTCCTGTAGTGATGAACAGACAACGTCAGGCCACGCGAAACCATATATATATATATATATATACAAACACTCATCTGTAGTGTTACGCACCATGTGATAATACACAACGTGACAAGACACCACGTGACATCGCACCACGAAGCAGGGAACCAAGCGAGAACAGCCTTCGATTATTTCGGTGCAATTTCGAGAATCTCCGTTCTCCTTCGATAGTCTCCGTGCATCTTCGATAATCTCCGTACACATTCGATAATCTCCGTGCATCTTCGATAATCTCCGTACACATTCGATAATCTCCGTGCACCTTCGATAATCGCTGTGCATCTTCGATAATCTCCATACACATTCGATAATCTCCGTACACATTCAATAATCTCCGTGCACATTCGAGAATCACCGTGCACATTCGAGAATCTCTGTGAACATTCGTGAATCTCCCTGCACATTCGATAATCTCCGTGCACAAATTACCGACGTGCTGGAACGCTTATGAATTAATACATACGCTGACCATTGCGTCGACTACGAGATACGTCGGGGTTTCGCTCTCTTTTTAAATTATTTTCACACTAGTTTTACCACAGATCATAAATAGATGCATACAGCATAGTTTACGCTCGCCGTGCTCTTGCGAATACACTACGCATCATGTACGTACGATCTCTTCTTCTTCGGAGTTGTAGCTTCCTCCCTCGTCGTCGTCGAGAGAGTCTGCGCGGTAACCGTCTCCCTGGCAATCGACTATGCTCAGCTGCGGAACGAGATCCGGCATGACGCGGTTGCACTTCATCATTCCGTCACCAGGTAGCGCTTCGGTGTATGGGATGCTGCTGACACTGCCCTGCGATCTGCTAGAATTCAATGCAGTAGGAATGAGGAGAGTGTTACACTGATGGCTTCAGTCCACCCACTTACTGCGCGTTCAGTATTACTTCCTCTAAAATAGGGCTTGCGGACTAACCCATTAAGGTATAGAGCTTGTAGATTAACGTATGATGATATTATTTTCGGGTGATGGTCAGCCCACAGCGAGTTGAATCAATCCATGTTCGATTGAAAAAATTATGAATATTGAAAATTATTCGAAAAAAATACTAAAACACAATCACTAATATCTCAAAAGGTATTAGAGTACGTATTGCAGGTGAAGTTGCTGTTTGTTCTATGTTGCAGAATTAGGTGGAGTGATGACCGTACTTGTTGCTATTGTAGGAGTTCTCTCTGTACAACGACGTTTGACTGCAGTTGATGCTGTTATGACGCGGACACATGCCTCCTCCATGTAAGCTGCCACCACTCTCCCGCAGTGATCCGATTCTGTCACGACAAAAGAGTAGGACTTACTGTATAATAACTGCCATAGATATCTATATCTTTATCGATATCTAAATATACATCTACATCTAGGTAAATGTCAATATCTATATAATACATCTATATCCACATCCATATCCATATCCATATCCATATCCATATCTATATCTATATCTATATCCATATCCATATCCATATCTATATCTATATATATATCCATATCTATATCTATATCATATAATATATATCTATATCTCGGCTAGTGTGGTGAGATATCACGTGCTGTATATACGTTCGGTAACACGCACTCTACACTGATACCTCGTGCTGTACATACGTGCGGTAACACGCTTTCTACACTCGGTTTCTACGCGTGAGCTTTAATGCTTTTGTTTTTCACTGCTGTGATATTTATTATAGATGGCGGAGAGGTCCATTACTCAAATGGCCTGATGCGTTAATTTTCGTTAGAGTTGGTTTGAGAGCGTCTGCTGTCTCCAACACAGACGCCGGCTTACACGTTTAGAAGTGCAGCATATTAAAGCTTTTGCTACGAAAACGTTCGCTTGCCAGTCCTCCAGGTAATAAAGTTCTAACGGAAATTTCGCAACCCGGTTACCTCAAGATACATATCGTCGATAATCGAGTAAGCTAGTATGATAAATAAAGGAATACTACGACCTAAAAAAAATCCAACGTATCGAATAGATTGCGCGACCGCGCGAGACAGATATACGCGAGTTTGTTGAAACTTTCAAAAATAACAATGAAACCAATTACATTGGAAAGATATAATGTGGCAAGTAGTTTGACGATATTTTAAGGAAACCCCCTTCTGCGAATGATGCAAGTTTTCATCTCCGCTAGATTATCGCCCTTCTGGTTCGGTTTTCTTGGGTTAGAAGCCCGCTGACTGTGTGCAGCAGGGTGATGTAAAGCCATTACTGGTGATTAGCTACACGACCTGACCACGGGAAGCAAGCGTGTGCGTAGATAACCAGGTGCTCAGTGAAGACACGGCGCGTCTGGGTGCACAGTACGTACAGTACGTAGCAGTTGTGTGTGTGTGCTGTGCATGCTGTGTGTGTAGATGCTGTCGTCGTCGCGTCGTGAATGCTCGGTGTGTCTGTGTGTGTGTGTTGTTGTGTGGTGCTGTGTGTGTGTGTGGTGTGTGTGTGCTGTGTGTGTGTTGTGGTGTGTGTGTTGTGGTGGTGGTGTGTGTGTGGTGTGTGTGTGAGGTGTGTGTATGTAGTGTGCGTGTGTGTGTGTGATGTGTGTGTGATTGTGTGTGCTGTGTGTGTGTGTCGGCGATAACGTGCCGTAGTGTTAGTGTGTTGTGTGTACGTGTGGTGATGTGTGTGTGTATATGCTCGTGTGTGTGTGGTGTGGTGTGGGTGTGTGTGTGTGTGTGCGCAGGCTGCGTGCGATGCGTGTGTGTGGTGTGTGTGTTTTGTGTGTGTTGTGTGCGGTGGTGTGCGTCGTGTTGTGTAGTGTGTGTGTGTGTGTGTGTGTGTGTGTGTGTGTGTGTGTGTGTGTGTGTGGTGCTGTGTGCTGTGTGTGTGTGTGTGTGTGTGTGTGGGATTGTGATTAGCAAGCTAGTGCTGTAAAAACAGCGTTTATAATTGGTCTCGTGATGTGGCGAGGCTTACTACGGCAGCAGTCGCACTTTGCCTGTTGAATTGTCGCGCGCTCGCGGCAGAGAAGAGCGGAGACCCTCACTGCAAGGCGAGACAGAGGCCTGTATGGAAGGAGAACAGCAGGAGAGAGAGAGAAAGAGCAGAGATGAGGAAGAGAGAGGAGAGAGAGAGAAGAGGTACGAGAGAGAGAGCGTGGAGAGAGAAGAGAAGATGAGAGGAAGCGAGAGATGACGAGAGAGGAGAGAGAGAGAGAGAGAGGAAAAGAGAAGAGAGAGAGAAGGACGAAACGACTGCATTTTCTCAAGAAGCGCCTCTTCGTTTTGTTGCTTTCCTTTCTTCTTCTCTCACCGCAGTGTCTCTAAATTCAAGACATCGTGGGAAACAATTCGTACAAGCGATAGAAGTAAATCTAATTAGTACTGTTATTCTCGCGCTGTGGGAGCAAGTCGTGCCGAGCAGTGCACGAGGGGAAGGGGAAGACACAACGATGCGGAGAAAAGAAGCAGCGCTCAGCTAGACGAAGCGCGTGTCTGAAATCTGTTAATTAAATAAACGAAACACGCTATAAGCGAACCGTATTTCTCATCTACCTAAGCACAGACAAAATAACGGGCGCAGTGTGTGTACACACAACCACACACACAGCACACACACACGAGTCACACACACACACACACACACAACAACACAGCACACACACACACTACAACACACACACACACAGCACACGGGCACCACCGCAACGCAGCTGGCCACACAACGCACACGCACACACACACACACCACACACGACACACACACACAACAGGCACACACGCACACGCACACGCACACCAACACGCACACGCACGGACGCAGCACGCACACGCACACACCAACCCACAGTGCCCACCGAGACAGCGTGCTGACACGAGAGCATGCAGCTTTGGAAATGACATGCACGACACATAATACCGGCCTACATATTCGCAAAAACAGAAAAGATCACGAATACGGCGTAGCAGTTAAGATAAATGTAGTAAGTAGAATAAGTAGTAGTAGTTAGTAAGTAAGTAAAGTAGTAAGTCAGTAGTCTGTTGTAACGTATACAATATGTGTAATATAGTAAGTAGTAGTAGTAGTAGTAGTAGTAGTAGTAGTAAGTAGTAGTAAGATGAGTAGTAGTTAGTAGTTGGTTTGTAGTAGTTACGAAACCGTAGTACTAGTGAGTAGTAGTAAGTAGTTAGTAGTAGTAGTAGTAGGTAGTAGTAGTAGTATATAAGTCGTAAGTCGTATGTAGTAGTAAGATAGTAGTAGTAGTAGTAGCTAGTAGTGAGTAGTAAGTAGTCAGAGTAGTAGTATAGTAAGTAGTAGTAAGTAGTAGCCTAGTAAGTAGTAGTAGTAAAATTAATAGTTAGTAACAGGTAGTAGTAGTAGTAAGTAGTAGTAAGTAAGTAGGTAGTAGTAAGTTAGGTAGTCAATAGCAGCAGTAGTAAGTACGTCAAGTAAGTAAGTGAGTAGTAGTAGTAGTAGTAAGTAGTAGTAAGTAAAAGTAGTTGTTGTAGTAGGTAGAAATCGTGAGTAGTGAGTAGTAATAGTAGTAGTCGTAGTAGTAGTAGTAGTAAGTAGTAGATCGTGGTCGTGGGAGTAGTAGTAGGTAGTAGTAAGTAGAATAGTAGTGGTAGTAGTAAGTAAAGTAGTAGTCAGTAGTAGTAGTAGTAGTAGTCAGTAAGTAAAAATGTAGTAGTAGTAGTAAGTAGTAAGTAGTAGTAGTAGTAGTAGATAGATAGTAGTAGTAGTCAGTAAATAGTGTATAGTTAGTAGTAGTAGTAGTTGTTGGTAAGTATACAATAGTATAAGTATAGTGTAGGTAGTAAGATAGTAAGTAGCAGTAGTAGTAGTAGTAGTAAGTAGTTAGTTTGTAGTATAAAATGATAGTAGTATACCGTAGTAGTCAGTAGTAAGTAGTAGTAGTATGTAGTAGTAGTATGTAGTAGTAGTAGTAGTAGTAGTTTGTTGTCTAGTATAAGAATGAAAATCGTAGTACTCACGCTAGTAGTAGTAGTAGTAGTCCAGTAGTAGTAGTAGTAAGTAAGTAGTAGTAGGGTGAGGTCCGTCATCGTAGTAGTAGTAGGTAAGTGAGTGGGAGGAGGTGAGGTAGTAGGTGAGTGGTAAGTAGTAGTAGGTAGTAAGCTAGTAGTGAGTAGTAGGGTAGTAAGTAAGTAGTAGTAGTAGTTAAGTAAGTAGTAGTAGTAAAAATAGTAGTAAGTAGTAGTCAGTAGTAGTAGTAGAGTAGTAGTAGTAGTAGTAGTAGTAGTAATAGCAGCAGTAAGGAGAAGGTAGTAGTAGTAGTATAGTAAGTATAGTAGTAGTTAGTACGTAGTTGTTGCTAGTTATGTAGAAATCGTAGTAGTAGTAGTAATAGTATAGTAAGTAGTAGTAGTAGTAGTAGTAGTCGTAAAGTCGTAGTAGTAGGCTAGTGTAGTAGTAGTAAGTAGTGGTGAGTGGAGTAGTAGTAGTAGTAGTAGTAGTAGTAGTAGTAGTTAGTAAAAATAGTATTGTAAAGTACGTAGTAGTAGTAGTTTTAGTGTTTAAGTTAAAAAAAAGTAAAAGTTAAAAGTAGTAGTCAGTAGTTAGTAGTAGTATAGTGAGTAGTAGTAGTAGTAGTATAAGTAGTAATTACAGTAAGTAAGTAATAGTAGTAAGTAAATAGTAGTAGTAGTAGTAGTAGTAGTAGTGGTAGTAGTAGTAGTAGTAGTAGTACAGAGTAGTAGTAGTAGTAGTAAGTAAAAAAAAAAAAGTAAAGTTTTTTTTTTAGTAAGTAGTAAAAATAGTAGTAGTAAGTAGTAGTAAGTAGTAGTAG